CAGACTTACGGGATGCGATGAGGCTACCATGGGCATTTGCCATATGGCAGACTTGCCCTATGTATTTGGTATGCCGTTTCAAATTCCTAAGCAAGCACATTTGTTTACAGAGCTGGATGAGAAATTTGCTGCTGATATTATGACACTCTGGTCTAATTTTGCAAAAACTGGGTATAAATATAGCATTTCTTGTATAAAGTATTTTATGTTTGTGTTATTACATTGATAGCAAACCTGACACACAATGGCCTCAAATGTTGGACAATAATGTGGTAAATGTGCGGCTTTTGGATCCATTAAATATGACACATGTATTGAAAAACCCGTTTGAAGTCAATTGCGATGGCTTTTGGAAAAATTATTATTTTTAAGATTACTTGATACAATTAAAAACACTCGTTACTTAAAAATTAAAAGCAATTTTATTCTGTTTATAGATATAATTCTAGATTAAATGAATCCCAAAACTACTGTAATTAATAATTTTAAGTTATGTGCTGTACAGTATTAATTACTTATACATTAATCATACATTATTATACATTATCTATCTTAAGAATAATTTAATAATAAAATTATAATTTTATAAAAAAAAATATTTATCTACTAATTTAGAAATTTTAATAAAATTTAACAATATTATTATTATTGCTTAGAAATAATTGTTACAATAATTAGTAATCTCATGGATAGGGATCGACACAAATCGGGACAATAGTGTCCGTCGACTCCGACTATAAGACTAATCCAGACGTCTGTCGATTTGAACGCAATGTCGGCGTTGAGACGAATCAACAAAGAGATGCAGGAATTGCAGAAAAATCCAATTCCCGGCATTACAGCCGCACCCGCCCCGCCCGGCACTAACCCTTTTGAATGGGTGGGCAATATCGCGGGCCCTCCCGACTCCCCATACGAGGGCGGGCTGTTTGTCGTGAGAATCCATTTCCCTAATGATTACCCTTTCAGTCCGCCCCGCATTACAATGCAAACCCGTATACATCACCCAAACATCTCACCGGATGGTCGCATATGTCTGGACACACTTTCTCGTAGGTGGAGCTCAGCCCTAACCATAGGCCAAGTGTTGCTTTCCATACAACAACTGATGGGCGAACCCAACCCACACAACCCGTTGGCTATACTCCCGGCTAATCGACAACAGTTCAACCAAACAGCCAGACAATGGACACAACTATATGCCCGACCCCCTCAACCTCACAATCAATCGACTCAGGGTAACCGCGATAATGGTGGTAATGATGGTAGTGGGGGTAGTGGTGGCACCGGTAGTCAATAGAATACAATTAAAATTAAGTTTATATTTGAATTTATAGATCATTTGAATCATAAATTATATAATATTAAAAACACAATATAATTTTGGTATACAAATAAGCACTACAAATATACTGCACCTATAGTAGTTGAAATAGTATTTATAAAAATGTGTATTCTTTAGGTTATTGCAATCTGTTTAGTAAAATAATTTTAAAAATATTTTTCTATTGTTTATTAAAAAGTGTCTGTAATTTCAAAACACACAGATTTGTGATTATTTGAATTTTTAAGCAACAATTAAATACTGAAACCTAAAAACAGTTGTGAATACGAATCGACACAAAACGAGATAATAGTGTCCATAGACTCCGACTATAAGACTCATCCAGATAT